AGGCGCAGCCGAAATCAGCCAGCATTCGCTCCGCTTGTTCTTGTCTTGTTCGATGTTCGGCGTTATAAGAACGATGTCGTCAGCAAAACGAAGGTGGTGTAGTTGCCGGCCGTCGACCTTCACTCCCATGTCTTCCCATTCCAGTTGACGCATGACGTTCTCGAGAGCGGCGCTGAAGAGTTTGGGCGAGATGGTGTCGCCCTGTCGGCCCCCTCTCTTTACGTAGATGATGACCTCCTTGTAGAATGGTGAGATTCTGGTGGTGAAGTTGCTGTAGAGCTCACGAAGAATCCGCCTGAAGTAGACGTAATAAAGCGCAGTACAATGTCATTCACTTTTGAGGCACTAGGTGCAGCACCGATGAGTGACAAGAAGTACCTTCGAGGCATTCTAAAATGGTACCGAGCATGTGTTTCGGCCTGTTAGGAACATGTTGAAAAACAAAATGCTTCATTTTGTTGTTTCGCTTCCTTGTCTAGAATGTTTGCTTTTGCAACACGAGCTATATACGTTGTTCTGGTGTCTTTTAAATATGTTTCAAGCTGCGGGTTCCCAGATTCTCTTGATCAGCATTACAGTCCATTTGCAGCTTTTCATTACTCGATTGTTGTAAAGAAATGACATTGTGACAGTGACGTTGACTGTAGTGGCACTATTCCACTATTACTGCTCCAAAATCTCAAATTTTATTTTTCGTCCGAAACTTTGCCTATAGGGGTAATTCGATGCCCTGATTACGAATATGACATTCATTTTTGATGCTGGCGCCACCTTGTCACGACGGCTGTTTTCACCAAATTCGGTGTAAACTTGTACATAGGGGTTATTTGGTGTCCTGATTACGAATATGACATTTATTTTTGGCGCTTGCGCCATTTGGCGCCTATTTTCTGCTCGTCTGCGCCCTCGCACTGGGTTGATCGCTATCAGGACTAAGCCCTTGGGGAAAGGAGGGCTCAGAGGTGAGTGAGCCACTCACCCTGATATCACACACTTCAACTTTTGTCACATGTTGCGTGGTTTACCCACCTCGGAGTCCTCCTTCTCCAATAAGCTTAGTCTTAAGCACAATGTATAAGTGAGAGAGCCCAGGAGAGCAGAAAATATGCGTTAGACAGCGCCAATTCCAAAAACGAATGTCATATTCGTAATCAGGACACCAAATAACCCCTATACACAAGTTTACACCGAATTTGGTGAAAACAGCCGTCGTGACAAATGGCGCCAAATGGCGCCAGCATCAAAAATGAATGTCATATTCGTAATCAGGGCATCGAATTACCCCATAGGCAAAGTTTCGACGAAAAATAAAATTTTGAGATTTTGGGGCAGTAATGGTGGAATAGTGCCGCTGTAGTATTCGTTTTACGGGCAGCATTTATCTAGTGGCACCGCTTCCCATACGCACGGGCCAGCAAAGAAACGCATGTTCGTACGTCGTACACGAAAACCAAGCCTCCATCCCCAGGATCGTTTTTTGCTACCAGACTTGTTTAGCCGGATAAAAACGCTATTGCTTATCTTGTCCCGCAAGCCGCTGTATAAGCGAAATCGCCTTCAAAGTGCCACTACGGCTCTGAATGGAAGTATGCTCTCACAAAAGCTCTTATCAACGCCGAGAGCGTGCTAAGCTATCCTATTTTGTATTATTTTGATCTATTTTATTTTGTGTTGTGGTGCCAAAACTATCCAAAACTGATTTGACATTCGTCCTCATTGAAAGTGTTGGAAGCACTTCCCCGCTATTTTTAGGTACACTGGTTGAAAGTAGACTTTGATAAGTGGAAGGATGAGGATGATTCTGGTGCTGAAGATGGTATGCCGTCATTTGGTGGCCCAGGAGCTGGTGGATTTGATCTCAATTCGTATATGAATCAAATGGGAGGTGGAGGTAAGCTCTGCGCTTTTTCATTGTTACGTAGCTCCTTCAAGGTTATGCGGCAACGAGATTGAATACTATTCCAGGCGGTGCTCCCGACTTTGATGGACTCGACGATGAAAGTGATGGAGGTTTGTGTTTTCGTTCAATTTACCCCACCAATTTCTGTTGTATTCTCGGCGTGCTCAAAACAGTTCCTTTTTCAAAAGTAGACTTTGTAGAGATGCCGGACCTTGAAGATGACGATGACGAAGCGGGTGACAAAGACAAGAAAAGTGAGGAAAAAGCCGAAGAAAAGAAGGGTGAAGAGAAAATTGAAGAGAAGGAGAATAAGGAGTGATGGTCACTTAGTTTGAGTATGTATTTGTTCTTATTGATGAGACTTGAATCCTTCTTGATACCATTTTCGTCCGTTGTTCAAATCCCTTTCCGTTGATCATCACAATCGTAGTCGCTCCAGTTTTCGCGTAAGGCGGTGAATTAAAACGTTACCGTGCGGTAACGTTCAGCTCGGTGTTATGCGTTTCACTTCGGCACGGAGTTGACCACATTTCACATTGCAAAAGTCCTCCCTTAATTTTATGGTCCACATTGATTGCTGTTACGTGAACGTTGATCTTGATGTCTCTTCTTGTGTTATGAAATCGTTTTGTTCGATCGCTTAGATTGATATGAATAAAATTTATTTAATCAGGTAATGCTTTTGACAAACCATTGGAACTGGGCAGAAACTGCTTTCTTATACCGACATTTTGAGATGAACGAGGTACCTTCCACTGAGTATCGTGGAAGTTGCGTGATTTCATAGTCCTAAAGTTTTTGTGAAGCACTCTTTTTTCCTTCACTTTCTTAAAGCTTCGATTGCGTGCGCTCTGCAGCCCAGAATGAGGCAGTTATCATTTAACAGTGCGTAGTGAATGAATGTGGATATGCATGGTGGGCGATAGGTCGATTTATTCGCCATCATGTCGGCGGCAACTGACGGCTCTCGGTTGTAGCGCACTAATGTGTGCCTGGCTATAGTTGGAAAGGTGTCACTTAGATTTCGCGTTTCACTTCGAATTTTAAAGTAGACTGCTCCTCCAAGCTTCCAAGAAAAAGATTCCCTCGGGTAGGTAGTTCAGGAAGCAATTTGAGGGTACTGGAGGGGGGGGGGAGGATGGTTTGCTTTGACAGAAAGTGGATTTTCCGCTTTTCGCACGCGAAGTTTTTTCTTTCGTTGCAAGAGTCCAGGTCCACCGCTGAGGACTGAACCTGGGGTTCTTGCAGCGAAGAAAATCTTGCGTGCGAAAAACGGGGAATTCGCTTTCTGTCCTAGCAAACCACACTTCGGTCACTGTACGAGTAAAATATTCTGATAGAGAAACGTAGCGTCCTTCGTAAATGCGGTGACATGATCATTGTTGCCAGAGTCAACCTTACGTTGTCTAAGTTTGAGAAGTCGTGTTTGGAAGTTTCGGATGGGAGAGTCGTATTTCATGTTTTTCTGTTTTGGAATAGTGTCGAGCACAGTTAAGAAAGGCTGGACTTGGAATGTTTAATCTAAACCAACACAATTTAGGTCGTCGGTTTTGCGCATTACTTCTACATATTGTTCTTATGTTTAGTCTAGAATTTGTTCATGTGAAATGTGTTAAAAGCCAAGTAGCTAAGCCTTCTTATCCTTGTGAAAGAGAACTCATTCGTTTTGTCAAAGTGTACGATTATGTTTTGTGCACAGTTTTCGAATAAACGGAGTATTCGCAT